CACACACACACACACACACTGGTCGGGTGGCATCCCAATGGCCCATGTAATCCCCTTGGCTATAATCTGTGTCTCTGTGCGGTCAGATTAGTTTAGATTTTGAATTTCTGTCGTTTCAAACAGAGGGCACACTCTTCCATCAGCCAGCATGCGCAATGTGTCTGCAATCACCTACCATACACTCCGCACATATTCAGACTGGATGAAAGGCCACATAAATTTACTATAAACATAAAATATTTGTGTGGACAATAAAGCTTAGATTAAGGTTGATGTTTCCAATCTGTTATAATGTTTCCTTCTTAACAGAGCCCCTTTATTATTTAAATAAAGCATGACGAAATCAACTGACGTTTTCAGTAACACTGTTGGAAGATTATCAAAGTTTTAGCCTCTACGTCCTGTAGGCACAGTAGGTAGAAATGGCCCTGTGCATCTGCAGTGTGTTTGAATTTTAGGTTGACATACTAGATTTATGTCATTCTCATAATTTATCATTACAAGCATGAATCAAATTTCTTTGACATAAAATGACAGTCGACAACCACATCAGTGAAATTTGCTTGATATAAATCTTTTTCTCTCTCTCTCTCTCTGTGTTATATTCCAGGCAGTTCAGCAGGGAGTAATTCCACAGTAATTACATAATAAACTTATCTAACAACTACAGACACTGATTCTCTGTGGCAGCTGGCTACCAGTAAAATGACATCTGGATCCATCTAATTCTAGACTGAGCTTTCTGTCAAAATCCAGGACGCTGCTTGTGCATTTTTATGGGGGAGAAATATTGAAATTACGGAGCATTTTTAGTAGAAGCACCAAAAGATGATCTTTACACAGAAAATAATCCCTGATATTAATTTTTTTATGGTTGATGGTTAAATATTTACAAAGTTTCACAACTATTGTACTAGAATTTCATATGGAAACTCAGTACAAGATTAGAAATAGAAATATACGTATAAAAAAACCTTTCCTTTCAACCTTAAAACAACATTTACATGTTTTGCATGAGTAGAAACCTTACAGATTTGGATCAATTAAAATGTGTTAACACTGAGGATTAATAAATGCTTCTTTATCGAGGTGTTTCCTGGGTTTATAGGAGCCTTTGCTCATCATCATCAGAGCAATGTAGTAGACTAGAAGACTAGTGGTTGGTCTGCATGGGCTACTTTATTTTCCACCTACATGCTTCCTGATTGTTATGATTGTTTGCTGAAAAAGCTAATTCCACTTCTCCTCACTCTGTATGCCAAAGTGATAATTTAAGTGCTTAAAAGATTATTTAAACACTTCACATATATAATGAATGGAAAATGTTTGATAAAACTGCATTAATCCAATGTTAGACAGTAGACAGATGAAATAAATAAATAAATGAATTACAAATGAATCCCTACATTAGAGGCATCCATATTGTAACCATCACAAAACTCTCACCAGTAAAGCGTACAGTCAACCAAGGTGTGATCTCTATGTTTTATGTTAGATCCACGTACATGTAATATAATCTTCATCTTCAATCTGTGTGATTTAACCCTATTTGTCTTTTCTGAGGAAACTTGTCATAGATGATATAAACCGTAAGAAGTCCAGAACTGACCACAGAGATGTTACAGTATCAGCAGGGTGCAAAGTACACATTTGAATCAGTACTCACATATGGGGGGGTGTCGACGCTCTCGGTGTTGACCACGACTGGAGGGGGGTTGGCCTGCAAGACAGAACAGCAACATTATCAAACACTTTTAATTTGAAGGAAGTTATGAAACCAGAGACATGCAGTAGTTCGGATTGCTGATGGTGACCACTATGAAACTTAAGACTTAACACACATAAACACACGTTTGCACAGATCTGTGGTGTTGACTTACTCGTCTCATGTTTTGGTACAGCATGTTGAGTACATCTGCTACAGATTACCACCACGGAGCGACAGCATACACTGCATGACATACTGCACAGCCCTTATATTGGACAATACTAATACCGAACTGTAACAGACTGTTTTATAAAGCTCTGTTACTGCACCACAAAATACTATATCACAATACCCTGTACTTTTACATTTTACATTGTACTCTAATAGCCTGTTGGATATTGCGCTCTACTACTCTGTTCTCTCTATTCTTTGAATGCCAACCGCATTATGGCCTGGTTCAGTCCAGTACAGCATAGCTAGGGTTAGAGCAGCAGATGATTGACATTATATTTTCTCTTGCTTCCTACGCAAGCACAGCAAATGACAAACTTCACACTAGCTAATAAACAGCCACAAGGTGTCTTTTTCTCCTTGTATTTGCAAGGAGAGCATCAGCCCCCATTTTATCATTCCAGCCTTTCGCCTCCTGTCCCTACTTTTTCCCTTGTCTCCTCTCACTTTCTCCCCCAGAAAGTATTTAGCACTCCCCAGTCCAGCGTATCTATAGGTCTAGTCTCCTCTGAAAAACCAGCAATGAGCAAACCAGTCCGCGTAAGATAATGTGAAACTCCAGCTCTTGTTCTGCAGCCAAAAAGGTTCACAAATGAACCAGCTAACCAAGCATCAAACAAGCTAGCCAACCAAATGGACAGTCCACCCAGACTTCACTTCACAGCATCAGTGTGCAACAGAGCAGCAATAGCATCTATCCCTCTACACTAATCTCTACCTCTCTCATCCCCCCTTTTTCTACTTTTCTCTCTCACACACACACATGTATCATCTCATCTCTCTCTCTATCTCTCTCTCTCTCTCTCCACCACATGTCCAACTGTCTGTCAGTCAAGCTGACAGGATGCTTGATCCCACATGGGAACAGACACAGAGAGAGAGGAAGGGGGGATCAGAGGGATTATGGGTATGATGGGAGGAGTTAAATCTGCCTCCTCAACAACAGCAATGAGTAGCAGAGGGTGCAGACAGATGCACAGACATTAGTAAAAAAGGACAAAAATGAATGGTGCGGAGAAAAGAAGCAGAGGGAGGTTGTGAAAGAAATAGATGGAGGGGGCGAGCTGGGGGATTATACAGTAAGGCTCATTGATGATGAGAAGACACTGAGGGTCATGCTGACAGTTGCAGCTGTTAGGATCTGTGTGTCTGTGTATGTCGACATGAATTCAAAATCTTGCATGAATAAAAGAACCTATTATCAACAAAATGTAGAGCATAAAGGTAAATGTATAGCATAAAGGTAAATGTATTTAGCTAGATTCCCCCACTGATTACAGATTACACACAGGTCACATCAGGACCAGTGAACATCACAAGGGGTCCATAGATAAATCTGAGGGGTCACAAGATTAAAATAAAAGATAAGATAAAAAAAAAAGTTACACATAATATTTTTTTTCATTTTTTTATCTAAATGTTTCTTTCACCACTTCTGGCCTCCTTCAAATGAAAATGAATCATGTGAAACAACCTGAGGGGTAACAATCACTGCTCACAGTAAGGCCATAACCTGCGATGTGGGGTCACAAGTAGACACAGTTTTATTTGAAGAGGTCACAAGGTTCTGATCTGAACTGTGTTTGTCTCTGCAAGTATTTTGATGAGCCACATATAATCATATTGACAAAGATAACCAGTCAGTTCAGCATGCATTTATGATTCTGCCAAGCCTTTGAAACCTGTAGAATAATGAAAGGTATGTTCTTCAGTGAACTTCAGGAGTTTTCAGTGTATTGACTGACTAAAAAATGCTTCATCTGACAGCAGGGTAAGCTCAGCCTTTATGCTTACTTTACCCAAGCAACTACCTGCCTAAAGTTAACTTGTCTGTCTCTTGCTGACTCCTTCACCATTGTTACAACATCACTTTACAAAGCACACAACTTATTTGTGTGTGTGTGTGTGTGTGTGTGTGTGTGTCATTCACAGAGCGACAAATCCAGTGCGTTAGTCAGCTAGTGATTCCATTGACACGACATGTCAGACTGCCCACTTATGTAACATCAATATGAGTGTGTCAGGGTGTGTAGATGGGGTTGTGTTACATGAAAAGGCCAAAAGAACAAACGTGCAAAGATAAACAAACAAGCACTCACACACAAACACACAAACACATGCAACATCCATATCCAGACAGTGTTTTTTTTGTTGCACTATGGAAGTGATTGTTAGCTGTTGCATAATTGCTGTTACACCAGCTGTGTTACCATGACAGTATGGCCTGGTTCAGTCCAGCACAGCACAGCTTAGAAGATCCAGACTATCAATGGTTTTCTCATCATCATAGTTCTCATGCTATGCAGGAAGGTTGTTTGTGTGTTTGTGTGTTTGTGTGTGTGTAGGCTTGGGAAATGATTTTCCATCACTGCAGGGTGCTGGGTTGAGCTACTACACCATCATCATAATAATTCAATTATCAATTAGCAGATGAATCATGATAAAATAAACAGAAATCAAGACTCCCAAAATGACGCACAGCGGTTTGTTAAATAATCAATCAGTGCAACGTGCCATATTATGCCATGCACCCACACACACGAAGTGAAACAAGAAAAGTCACGAACCGAATTGGGCAGATCGACAATTGTTGCACAGTAACAGCTGCAACGCATCAAAGCTTTGTTTCTCTAACGTCTGACCTTACATGGTCAACACTGTGCTACTTTAGATTTCATTTATAGTACAGAAAAGCCAGCATTGAGGTGAAAACACAAATACTCCTCTCCTAATATTACTATCCACTCTGTCTTTCGATCCGTGTGCAATGAAACTCCATTTGACTAATGAGCTAATCAGATGAAGCGTGACTCTAATCAAATCAGAATGGCCATGCTAATTCCGCTAATCAGGCTATCACTACCTGCTATCTCTGATCAATGTGCCCACAGCAGATGTACGGCACAATGGCTACCCAACCAACAGCTAATAAAAGGCAGCTGTATTCTTGTCCTTAGCTCACTCTAATACAGTTTATACACACACAGGTCCAGTTACACATGGATTAGGGCTGCGTGATGTTACGACTGCGATATGATTCACCATTAGTGGGAGTAATGACATTTGTACCACAATTTTCATTTTCACTAAAAAAGTTAATCAAATCGTGATGATGTGACATTTGTTGAGGTCTGTACCAAACACAAGCCAGGTCATCCCTGCTACAATAAATCAATATAATGTCACACATTTTACCTTTATCAAATAAATGGCTGCTTTTGTGATTTGGATATTGCATTTGGCCACATTGCGATAATATTTCGATTAATTGTGCAGCCCTAACATATGCTGTTTTGATTATATGAGTGGGATGTTGAAGTTGACCATCTCCACTTTTACACTGCTATTACTGTATCATCATTCTGTGATGTTCAAATAAACGCAGGCTTTATTTGTATGTTTGTATGTCTTTTAGTTTCCTACGTTTCAGTCCACACACACAGTGAATATACTGTAATTCTGTAGACAGTGCAGGTTCAACAGCTCTGGAACATGACAAAAATAATGGCAACATTACAGTAGTGACCTTCCACTTCCACAAATGTCTCCACCATTGTGGTCAGATATAAATGCAACACTGGTTTAGCTTACAGCAGCCAGTTTACGGATACATGCAGACTTCTCATCACATGGTGGTATTGTGCATTTGATGGAGACTGATGTTACAAATTACATTTCTTCCCGTCTCTCTTTGTCCCATCATTCCTTTAGTGTCTAATATATCTTGACAAGTATTGATTCCAGGAGTACTTTAAACATTAATGGAATAGCCAATCAATTTGACTACATAACTTGTGTTCTGTTTCACAATAAAGAGTTATTCTTTCCACTTTTTGGGAATTTAACTTTTTTACAGATATTGTGAGAGAACAGGAGAAATAGTCCAATCAAATTTACTGAAAGTATAGTCCTCTGTTGCTCTGTGATTTTCCTTTTTGTATTTTATCGTTTAATAAGGTAAAATAAGACGAAGTTAGGCAAATAAAAACCCTGTGAAAAATGTTGTATTTGATTAATTGTTTTAATGTGCACACGTGCAAACTGATTGACTCCCAACTGACCACTATCCTAAACTGGTTGAATAGTTGGGCAGCAGGGTGTCTGCACACTTTGGTGTATGTAACAATAAATCAAAAGCAAAGAAAACTGTGTGCATCTGCTTCCTCCAGTTTAATGTTAAATTAGTTCTATAACAGTGAGGAATCTCCTTTAGGATCAGCGGACTATCACTATCTATTGTAAGTATCCATCCATCTACAATCCCACCATTAAACCTACCTGCACATGGGCCTGTATTTGTGGAAAGTGGTGTATGAGAGGCATGTGTGGGGGCGTTTCCATTGAGTGTGCAGTCCAGATATACGTGTCATTTGGCCACGCCCTGTTCCCAGCCTTTCCCTTGGCTTTGCTCTTTGTGGGACTCTTCTTCACACTGTCCCTCAGGTTGGGAAACTTTCCTCTAGAGCCCCTTGTGGCCAGGTTGGTTGGCAGCGTGCTCCACCCATATCCGCCCAGCCCTGAACACAGGGGGAGCTGTGGCGAGTGAAAAGGGTGGATAGAAAGTGACTGGGAGGCGTGAGGAAGAGGAGAAGGGCAGTGGTGGTGTTGTTGGTACTGCTGGAACAAAGAGTGGTGGCTAGGTGAATGGAGCTGCATCTGCTGCTGTTGGTGGTAGATTTGATGTGTTGATTGCGATGAAAGCAGGTGACTTGGCGACGCCGGTGGATGGTGCTGATTTTGACAATGATGCTGTAGCTGATGATGACTTGGTGATAGGTGAA